CGGGGAAGGGGCCGGGGCCGGGGCAGCGCTGCCGAGGCGTCCTGGCCGCTGCTGGCGGTGCCCCGCGCCTCGCCGCCCGCCATCGAGTTCCCGGAGGAGGGCCCGGAGCCGCGCTTCGACGGTAAGCGGGGCCGCGGGAGCCCGGCTGGGCGCGTTGGGAAGCGGCCCTCGCCGCCGAGTCCGTGAGGGGAAGGAGGGAGGCGGGGGCCACCGGGAGGACTGATGCAAGAGCGGGCGGCGCGCCCGGCACCGCGGCGCTCCCCGAGGTAGCSGCGCTCTCCGGGGTAGACTTGGCCTCCTGTTTCATGTATCTTTAGGCACTTACATAAATTGGCCATGATTTGAGTCCGATTAACGCCTTAAGCTCATTCTCGTGTGGCTGTGTGCAAGCTGTCCAGGAGGCRCGTGGCTTCTGAAGGGCGTTTGTGGTCTGGTGTGTGTGGGGCGGTGGGAAGGAGCTGAGCYGCTCGCCCTTCGCTCCGCAGAGTCGGACGTGCCGGCCGAGCTGCGCGTGGCCAACGGCTCGCAGAAGTTCGTCAACTTCACCTCCACCATCCAGAACCAGCTGCTGCTGGTGTCGCTGCTGGAGCACCTCTGCCACATGTACACGCACAACCCCGTGCACTCCCGCTGCCTCTTCCGCAGTGAGTAAGGGCAGCACGGCCGCCTCAGCCGCGCCACCTTGCTGGGCTGCGTCCCCGAGCTGCCTGTGCAGGGCTGCCCTGCAGCGTCGCTAAAAAAGCTGTGCTGCAGGGTCATAAAAATGTTTATAAAAATGTTTATCCCATGGGGGACAAGAGTACTGATACGGAGCGGGTGAATGCCCTCCATCAGCTTGGTGGGTAGCAAGGCCTTGTGTTACTTTGCAAAATAGGGACCGCACATGATGGTAGATATCAGATAGGGACGGTTCTGTTCTGGCTAAATCGTGACAGATGAATCACAGGAAGGGTAAAAGATGGTTTTGAATAAGAAACTGTGCTTGGTGGATGTGTTAAGTCTGACCTAAAAACACGGGTAAAGGAGGAATCTAATAGGAGTGTTTTTCAAGAAACAGCTGTAGTGTATTTTTCAATGCATCTTTCAATAGTGTGTTCTGTGGGTATCAGAGTAGATCCTTTGAAAGGCCTTCATTTCCCATTAAAATCTTTTGACATAATACTGTGAGCCTGTTTCCTTAGGTGTGAGGTGTTTCTGTGGAAGTTGTCTTCGGGGTAGTTTATCCTAGGCATTTTTTTTTTTAAATTATGATTTTTCCCTTTCTTTCTTGGTACGAATAGTTCTAGAGCATAGTGTGTGTTAAAAGATAGACTAAAAGATAGGCTGTTTTTGAAATACTGGTATTAAAGAATCATCTGCAACAATCCTTACAAGTAAGTCTGTTTTAAGACCCTAGAACTCCTAAAAGCTTTAAGTACCTTTTTTGTAACATCTTCACAATTTTATCCATCTTCAGTACTTGTTATTTATCTATTTGCCATAGTTTTGTTTTCCTCAAGCTGAGAATAATGTGCTGCTTTGAGGGAGAGGTGAAATAAAGATGACTTTATTCTTRACAGCAAGTATGTGTACAAATGTATGAATGCATATATGAATCAGCAAAGAAAAAAAAACCTACTGTTTTTTACTAGAAGCATGTGTCCTCATTATTGTGAGCATACTTTGAATTTCTCTTTTCAACAGGCAAAATTTGCCCAAGGGAAATGAGTGAATGGGTTGATATAGAGAAGATACGCCTTGGRCAATGAAGCAGGCAGTAAATAACTGTATTATGCAAAAGTAAAGGAGATTCCCACAAGGGTAGCTCTGGTTTGGATTTAATTAGTTTTGATTGTAAGGAGTTAGGGAAGAGACATTGGAGTAGGTGGAAGTGACTGAGCATACAGTTTTCCAGACATGCTCTCAAATAACTTTTTATAATTTACAAAGAACATTTGTTTGCATGGCCTTAGTAGCAGACTTTCTTTAAAGTTACCTTTTTCTATTCCTTTGTACAGTACTCCGTCAGGCTTTCACAAGAACAGGGTTGCTCTCTCCTTTTGCTTTCTGTGATGAATTTAGTACTATAAGATTGCAGCATAATAGAGCGATTACTGAACTAATGAAAGCAGCTAATCGACAAATACTTAATGGGGTAAGCCTTAAATTTATTTGGCAAGTTTTGTGTTAAAGAATCAACATGTCAGTGTGTCCAAAGCAGCTTTTGCTTCATGATTTTCTTAATATTGGATTGAATATTTCAATAATTATACCAAATGGTRCTTCAATCTAATTTGGCTTTTGGGGCCAGTGTGAGGGAAGGTTCTGGACTGAAAGAAGCAAACCAAAGCTTTTGAAATCAGCACTATTTTATTCCTTATTAAATTAAAATATCTATATGCTTTAAAGCCCAGGCAAAATGTTTTAAGTATTGTCAACAGTTTTTAAGACAATGAGTGTGCTTCCTTTTCCAGCTATAACGGTTCTGGTTTGATTATGTCTGTTTTGATTATGTTAATGCCCTTACATTTATCTTGGTGAAGGGCATAATTTGTGCACTGCATAATGTGCCTTAGGCTGAATCAGACCAGTTTGCTCATCAGSTGTTTGCGCTAAGCTAGTTAGTTTTGTCTTGAGCACATTTTAGTGCTCTCATATCTGTTCACCATCAGAACTCTAACAGGCAATAATCTCTCCAGTAGAGATACGTTAACAGATTG